GACTGATCACCTTAGCCTCTGAAGACTTGATCTACTACAGCCTACGACCTACGACCTACGACCACGACCCCAGTGTACTGTTTAAACGTCAATCCCCAACTTCTGTTAGCAGACCCTACTGTCGGATAGCTGACCGTAACAGTTATGTCTGCGCTTCAAACCAGCTAAATTAACCGGTAATTTTTAGTGTCTACTATTACCTCTCACTGTGCTCTTTCCGGTGTGAATTGGGAATATCATTTCACAAGCTACCTTTAGTCTGCACTATAAACACCCCGAATACATCAATAAGTTGAGCTCTGTTGGAACTATCTCTATTCCATGTTTGCTGTATCCATCACATCCTGAGCACCCAGGACTGCGAGGTTCGGCTATGGACTTTGTGTGTCTTTGTTACAAGCCCTGCCAATCAGCGCGATGCGATATGTCATAGATATTTTCAATCTTGCTTTCGTCATAATATGTTATGTAACTTTGTGCTGATAGAATAACTTGTAATGAGGCAGGTATTCATCTCGTTTACCAGCCTGTCTCAGCATTGTTTTCTGTTCTATAAGTTCACGTATAGAAAGGAATGATTCAAATTTGTCTATGACAAAATAACGTCTGTTTATCCCGAAATCTACATTTTACCTATACGATTTGATGAAACTTTTTGCAAAAGTCTCAGCAAATCTTACATGTGCCCCTACATACATATCCAATCCAACCTAAGAGAGATTGATTTCCAGCAAGTAGAAAGAGTAAAGACCAACATAAACGGCCCCATCCTCTGTCCCCCACATGGTCCTCTTGTTGAATTTGATCACCGGGCTTGATAACGCTAACAAGATGACCACAAGAGAAGTGGGGATGATTCATTCATTGGAACTGGACTCAGGCGTTGAGAACCTGGGAATTGAGCATACCACGTACGTTCTCGTAGAACTCGGGCGTCATGTTCGTCCATTCCATGCAGTTCGAGCCGCAGGGAATAGGGATGGCCTGACCAGCAGTGCCCCCAATGACCGTGGCGAGGGTCATGCAAGTGGGCGGCACTCCTTCAGCTCGGATGTGATTGTCGCCAATGGGACCGGTGATTTTGATGTGAGAACCAAGAGCCTCGTTGTAGCAGTCGTCCCAGTTGTGCTGAGGGACGCCAACAGGAGCTGCGCCAGGGCCATCTTGTCGCTTCTCCATCCCCGCCGCAACTTCTGCGGCGACCTCATGCGCCATGTGTCGCGCATAGTGAATAGAATCCTCTTGGCGCTTGCAGCCCGACTTTGTAGCACAGCCGATGCCTACGCCGACTGCGCCGGAAACGACTCCAGAGACGACTCCGGCAGTCATACCAGATGAAGCACCTCCGCCCACAACGGCGGCTGCAACGAGCGCAGGGATGATTGGCAAGGAGGCCATCGCGCTGGGGATGCAAAGAAGAGTGGCAACCAAGGAGATCATCTTCGTGTTGGTCTGCATGTTGATAAACTTAACGTGGTGGTCTTGCGAAAGGAAGAAGAATTGAGGAATGTCTGAGGGCAAAGAGTTGAGTAATAGGTATGTGTGTTCTTGAATGAGGTTTGTGGTGGAATTGAGAATATTTATGTGTTTGTTGCAATTCGATAAATGTTTGTTGTAGACTGTTGCTGTTGAAGTAGACTGCAGTGATGTTTGAGAACGAACTTTGATTCCTTTTATAATGTCAGACTTCCTCTATTAGCAAGCTTCCAACCGTCATCCAGTGGGATTCCCACGATGGGTCTCGAAGGTTCGAAGCACCGCCTACTCACGCGCAGGACTTCACGGATTCGGAATCCTTGGGGTCCTCACGGTGCTCATGAGGGCTCGGCGATGAGCCCCCACCATACTCGTACAATTAATATCTCGCGATGAAAACCTGTTTGAGCTCATGGGCAGTGTTTTGAGACCCCAAGACGTGTTGGAGGTCGTGGTATAAGCCATCAAACCCACTATGACAGGTGAGGCTGATGATGTACGACAGACCGTTCACTCAAGTCGAGCCCAAAGGGGACCCCAAAAGGAATCCGTTATTGATCCTCGAAATTTCTCGCGAGGCTGACAGCTCGTGATAGTCGGTGGCCTCAACTTGTGGATACGGGAGCTGAACGTTTCTGCAGCCAAGATAGTCGACGTTACCTATGTAGTGGACCTTGCCGGTGTGGATGTTTTTGAGGCTATCATAGTTGGTGGTCGAGGACCTCTTGGCATCAATTTATGCAGTGTGGGACGAGCTTTGCTGCAAGCAAATATTTCGAATTCATGCGCCTCAACTAGCAAATCTTTTACAGTTTCCATTTGAGAATACTCTAACGCCATGACCTGAGTGTTCTACCCAGGAAATTGTCCATTGAACGACGAACCAAAATCGGCCCATGAGCCAGTGAAGATGGTAGACTGATTCGGCTCCCACGATATGTTTTTGGCTGCCAATGTTCATACGGCATGCTACTGCCGTACCAAGAGGTTGTTGGTGGCCCAGTAGCCCCCGCACCGTCTTGGCTGCAGCATGTGCAACCTGCGCCACAGCCTTCTTACAAACGAGCCCAATCAGTGCTCCCACTCTGCAGCCCCCTGACTCCCAACAAAAACATGAAATAACTGAGAAATGCAGTACGGTAGACTGGCAAGGCTGAGAGTAATGGAGACCGTCGGAGGAGGTAATATGTTTCAAAGTAAAGCGGAGTGGTTCTTGTTCGCACAAGTTCATCCAGGGGTTGATCACATAATAATAACGGCGTGATAGATCTGCAGCAAAGAGTTGTTGTAGATGAAAAACATGACACTCTTATGGTGTTTGCTATAATAAATGACACGAATTATTTCATCTATAGATTCTGCATGTTTGTCCTGCCAAACCACGATCAAGCCAATGGTATGATAGATGGCTACATATTCTCCAAATCGATTGCGGTGTCTTATTGTCGTCAAGAAACAAGGAATCTTGACTAAGAGGCATAGGATTGAATCAAAGCTTGCTTGATTGCCCATCGCATAGTCTTTGGATAAAGCCATCTTGGCACTGACCAAAAGAACCACGCGAAAACCCACGTAAACCCGAAAGCCTTACACATCATGCGCATTGGCCAGCTCTTCTCAACCAGTGACGCGAATTTTGTGCCCCTCAGACCCCAGGAAAGGGATTTGATGGCAGTGATTTCAGCTCCAACTGCGACGAAATTCACGCAGAAAAACCACACGTCTAGGTGTTCGAAGTGTTGACCAGTTCTCCATGATGCTGTTGCGTGCATCAATCCAGAGAGTAAAAATACTCCAAATGCTTGTAGCACCTTTCCCAAAGCCCTTGTTTTTGCTCCTTGCAAGAGAAATCTCGTCCAAGTCGTGAGCGTTGGTGTTGCAACGCGGTGCCAAAAGCGACCCCAGAAGCGTTGAAGAGTCCATGCATCAGAAAGACTGCCAAAAAAGAGGAGGCCAATCTTCTGGATCGTCCAGACAAAGTAGGATCACAAAGATGATCGCCAAAATAAAGTGATAAGACTCCAGAACGAGGAAATTGGTCCATATCCACGACACCGACATGAAAGCGCGAAGTGCGAGGCGATGTGAAGAGATGGGGCCGTATGGGCTTTCGATCCCATCAACAAATAAATGACTGAAGATTGGCCTGATGATTTGCTGTTGGTCTGGTGTGAAATCGAGTAGGTTACTGGCGGCTGAAAGGTGTCCCTGGATGCGCTGGACGACCAATTTGTCGACGAGGAAACCAACCGCGACCCTTGACCCGCGGCGAAAGAGGAACCGAATCAAAGCATTCCACGAAGCAGAAGCTGGGCAGGGCTGACGGAACTGTAGGTGTCGGGGGTTGTTCCATATGCGACAGGCAGCAGCGATACTGCGCCGACTCGGCCAGGACAACAGGTTGGCCTTGTTACGCTGACCGGTCTCTTGATTCAGGCGTGGCGCTGAAGAATTATTTTCGAATAGGAGAATCGTAGGTAAAATGAGCATGAAAATGAAGCAGGTTATGACGGTGTATGAGTTGAGTCCTACAGGCCCGCTCGGTGTCATCTCTTCCTTGACGGAGGCCAAGGACAAGGCAGTGAGCAGCAACGCTGGAAGAAAGAGCCACGAGTGAAATTGTGGAGGAAGATGAAGAGTAAACGTAGTCAACGTAGCAGAAGCCACAAACAGTATTGCTGGTTTTAAGTCGTTTGCGCTGATGAAATCCATCCTTGCTTTTTCTCTTTGCTTTTTTTTCTAAAAGGCAAGAAGCGCTTGTTACATTCACCCAGCGGTAAAGGTGGAATGAGGAAGACGATAGCTCATCAAGCCCATAATACAAAACCTTGACATCCGCAGCTTATGTGCCATGGAATGCCAAGGTCTGAAAAGCCCTGCCCCCACGATGGGATCACAGTTCTCGCTGGGAACTTCTAAATTCGGTAACCTGTGCTCGTGTACCTGAGCGAAGCCACTTGCTGGAAAACGCCAACATCTACTTCCCTTCTTCTGATTATGGTGGAATAGAGGAACCCGTAAGTTTGCATATTGGGGGCTTCAAAGCCGTTGATCTTGAGGACCATGATTGCGGAGAATACGAAGCTGTCGATTACACGTCACGAATGAAAGTGCACTGTGTACATGTAGCCTTGGAGCCAGCCGAGAGACACATATCTTAGTGTAATAACAAAAAAACGGCTGTAGAAAGGCTCCCAAGTCCATTTGGTATCAAACTCCTTGTGGCAATCGCAGCTAATTATCAGCATTCAAAGCCCTCCTTGGAAAATACTGTGGTTGCCGAACACGGAATGCCATGTTTGCCTCGATTCAAGCGTAACATAGATGGAGTTGTTTCCAAATTGTAAGTTCTCAATAATCAATCAAGTGATTGAAAACTCTGGTTGTTCAAGTTGATCGCGTTGATCATCGTAAGAGTCTGAGATGGATTACACTGTCAACAGGATCGCGGGCGATTGGCACTGTACGGTCTGATTTCGACCCGCCACCTGGATTTAATTAAACATTGCATGCAGCTGAAGTTGATGTTGCACTGAATCCTGCCCCTATGCCAAGTCTGTTGGCGCCGTCACAGCCTGGATGCCCAGCGCTGCAGGTATGAGGGCATGCAGGGGAGTTTGTTTGCATGATCCGCTGTGCCCCCAACGAGCACCAACACCAACCACCAACAAACGTGATTAATAGAAAGGAAATGACCAACTTTTGGCGGGGCTACATGTATGTGATGAGCTTCGCTCGAGTTAAATACTCTGTTGCGTGACAGCAGGAATGACATTGAACCCTCCAGCCTCGTCCGACAAACTCCTTTCCGTTATCATCAGAAACTGAGTAATCAATCCAATATGGGGAATGCTGCTGAAGCCAAGGCAGTCAGTACCATGACAACGCAAGAAGACATCAGTCCACCTCCTCCTTATGTATCGAACGATGCCACGGTAGCTTCATCGAGCTCTGCATACCAAGTCAGCTTTTCGCCAGCGACGGGCAAATCCAAAGTTCCCCTCAGCCTATCTCTTTCTCTTTATCACCAAATGCCCAATACTTTGAGCGTGTACTCGCAAATCAAGTTCACCCAGACCGCACATCTTGGCGACAGCACAAATCACAAGCTCTACGCCTTCTCGACCTATTACATTTCTGGTGGTGGCAAATATGACGGGAAGCCGTGCATGATCCTCCATAATGGTCCCAGCAATAAAGACCCTGCCCTAGCTACGGTCGCAGAGGAGCCAAACTGGACTTTGGCATCGACAACCAGCATCATTACACTGCCGCGGTTTAATGACGCGGTCGACGCAGCAATTGCGCCTCAGGAGCAGAGTTTCAATGGTGCCACGGAGATCATGCGCGGGGGAATGTTCAAGAATCAAATGACGTTTGGATACCGTTTCTCTATCGAGGTAGATCATGCTGGCACGCTTCGACGCGAGGACTTCGAATGGCAGAAGGCGGACAAAAGTGAGATGTCAGACGCCAAGGCAGTCTTCAAGCTTGTGCGGCTCAGCTCAGGAACCGTTCGCGACACCACGACCGAGATTGGCTCTGATTGCGTTGCCATAACTGGATTCAAGTGGGCATTAGCTTGGAACAAGCCGTTCAGGTTTGAGTTTCTGGGGGATGGTGCAACTGGTGGATTGGGAGATCGGTGGTCAGTCATGGCACTCGTCACAGCCATGAGAATTTGGACTCTTTACGTTCAAAGAAGGGTGCGCTGAGAGTTTGGATGCTTTTATAACTTTGAATGTGGGCGGTAGTTAGTTGAGCTGTTTGAACTGGAAATTGCCACCTTATCAACAGGAACTCACTTGCAAAAAGAAGTTCATGTGGTACCCGTCAGTCCAAAGTCTTAAACTCTATGCCATATTCACACCTTCACAGCTATATCTACTACAAGTATGCTGCTCATCGCTCTTGCCATTTTGCCTCTTTGCGATTGGACCTTACCCAGAGTCATACGGCAGTCAACAAGGTGCGCCTCCAGG